AGACCACAGGTCGGATTTAAACCCGGGTCAGCCGCATACATGGGTCGTGCTTACTAACCACTGCACCACCTGTGATAAGTATATCTAAAAAGGCCTGCATGTGTAGACATCCCAGACAGGCCCTTTGGAACTACAACTCCCAGAATGCTTCACCCTAACCAGATGATTGTACACAGGTGTAGAGCATACTGCCAACGATCAGGGCAGCACTGGTGAGTTTTTAACCCATCTGCTGATATTGTACTGTTTCTTGCATAGATAAAAGTCTGCAGACGTTGCCTTTTGATTTTATTTTTATCTCCTTTATAAACAAAATGAAAATTTTTGGTAGACGTAAACCGATCGGATATAAAAGGTAAAGTAGAGGATTTCAATGAACTTTTGAAAAAACTCACCCTTTCCCCTTAAAAAAAAGTGCACATGCACAACCCTGTGCCCGCTCCTGAGAGGGAACATCTATTTAATGCGTGCGAAAGCCCATTTCTCCTCGTGCACGCTCTGTTTAAAAGTTGCTGTTTGCATTGCTCCAACAAGCTTACTTTCCAAAAGAAGATTTCCCTTTTTTTCACCATGTCAGACTCACCACCAGTAAGTGAAAATGGCGAGGAGCACGTAGGATGGCCTTACATAAACATATCACCAGAATGATTGACAATTAGGAGGACCACTCATTTTGATGATCTGGACAGAAATAAAAGAGCATCCTCTATACCTTTAGTATCTGTGAAAATGGACCTGATCCATAAGGGAAGATCTGTTAAGTCTAGTTCTATAACAAATTTAAGTTAAGTAAAAAATCTCTTGAACAGCTGACAAATGTATTCTTTTGTAGGAATCTCTCTTTGGTTTAATAAATCCAGTCATTTTGAACGCTTACAGATGAATTTTTGTTTTGATGATGGAATTCGTCCCAGTAACAGTACTGACTTTTTTATGACTTCCTTTTATGACCTTATACTGATCTAAAGTTGCAAATTTGGACTTACATGTGTACAATAAACTAGAAGTAATCAAGGAAAATATGTTAAACCTTACACTGCTCTACCCTATTAAAGTAAAATGTTTCTACAATTCTGGATGATAACTTCCTTATACTTAATTTTCTTAGGTTTATTACTAATGGTAACAGTGTCAGATTTAACTTAATACCATCTTGAAAAACTATTTATTTTGGTATGTGGCGAACTAAGGACTAGTTTGCCAACCAAGGAGTTTATTTTTAAAATGTATGGAGTAGAAAGTAGAGATAATTGCAAAGAAAAATCTAAGGAGCAGCAGTAAATCGTCTATAAAATAAATAGTAAAGGATAGCCAATATTTTTAATTAAATAAGGTCACTGACTATTTTTACTTTGTCACTTGACGCCTCTGGATCTACAAATATCTAAATTCAAATATCAGAATCGAATCAGATACACTGCAAAAACAAACTAGAAATTAGTCAACATTTCTTAAATTGTGTAATTATCCTTATTTTAAGTAGGTAAATAAGATGATTTGCCAATGGAATTAGTATTTTTACTCTTAAAATAAGATAATTAGATAATATGCACTTGAAATACGACAATGTAATTGTTTTTTTTTTCTTATTTTAAATGTAAATTGTCTTTTGCCATTGGAAAAGTATTTTACTTACCTCCTCAATACAAGAACAAATGCACTTATTTTAAGAAAAAATTACTTCTCCAGATTTCTATGTTTTCCAGTGTGTGAAAAAATGTGGATTAGAAAACCGAATTTTTTGTTTGCAATTCAAATTTCGCTGACTGTCTGAAAATGTGACAGAAAAGGAAAGCACAGGATATCTATAAAGGCAACATATCTTTTCTCTGCGCTTTATAGTCGTGTTTTGTTGACAGAGATCAAACTTGAAGCAAACTGGAAAGTCTTTCATTTGCTTTCTGGCTCAACCCTACTCTGCTGCTATGCTGCTATTTGCTATTTAAGCTGCAGAACACATCCAGGAAGTCATCTAAGCAGAACAAATACAGCCATGATAAGGCGCAGTAATCAGACAGTCATTGTCTTTCTCTCTTCACTTCCCTTTTCCTTCCTGTGTGTCTCCTCATCTCCTTCCCTTCACCTCTAGTCCAGATCGACTTCCCACCTTCCCTCCTGGACGCTTTCTTCAGAACAACCATGACAGGAGTATGAAGCCAGACAGAAAAGCATCCTTGCCTTTTCAGTCGAAACACTTGTGGCCATGAAAGTAAACTACATTTTAATTTCCCTCTTCTCTCTGCTGTCTGTCCTTCTATCTCCCTCTTAGTGCCATATGCTCAGAGCTCCAGCTCAGGCTCATTTACTGCACCACACAGACACAGATCTGTCCTATCAAAGCACAAGGAACAGCTGGCTTCCTCGATATGGATGGCTGCTCGCCTGTCAACTAGTCTCACGCACGCACACAGGCGCGTCATCCTCACAACCTGCAACGTTTCAAGGGAAGACGATAGAGAGGGATGCGGAGATGGAGAGACAAAACAGGGGGAGTGGGTCTAAAGAAGGGAAAACATGAAGTCAGACTGCTGACATCCGGAGCAGACTGACAGTATGTGTCACCGTTAACAAGCTGAAGCAGATGCTCTTGAATAATTTAAAGGGTTAAATCAGGAGGAATCTGTTCCTGCATGACGAAAACGTCTATATTTCTGCCTTTTAATTTGAATTTATAATTGCGTGTCAAGTTTCAAACAGATTGTGGATTAGGACTAAATGTGAACGTGAGTGACATATTTACACCACTGATAAAAATGTGTTTACATTTCAAGAGAAACTGGCCTTCGTTGGTTAGTCAAGGTGTGTGATTCCAGGTTTTCTCTAAGTGAACACCGGTTAACATTTGTTTCATTTCCATTAAACAGAAATTAGATTCAAGGGGAAACAGGCACATTGTTTTTTTCTGCAGTTCTGGCACGTTTCCCTTTCCTGTGGTGCACCAACCAGTGAGTCTTTGACTGGCAGATCTATTCTGTGTTGTAGATGCTGTTCAGGGGCTGAAGTGTTCTTTAAAGACTCCTTCAACCTATGAAACAAGAACCGAACAAGAGCCAGACTCTATTGACCGCCTTCAGGTATATAAAAAATTGTAAAGTGAGTTCATCTGTTTCAAACCTCACAATTAATGTTTAAAGCTGGAAATAAACTGCTAAAGCAGTAGGGGGGGGGAATGGATTTGGCCATATATCGTGATTTCCAGCTGCCCAACATGATATCGATCTTTTGGTTCCTAATATTGTTTAAAAATAAATAAATGACCTAAAACAATGAGGGAAAATGGGCTACCTCTGCACCGCCTGTGGATCCCTTTTACTGTGCGGCGCAGCACCATTTCTGTGGTTGGGTCGGTCACAGTAGAAGACATGGACTGACTCGAACCCCAAACAACATGGATTCTGATTAACATAAATGGCAGTCGCTTTTTAATCTATACCAGTGGCGCCAATAGAGGGCGCTATGGCGCCGCCGAACCTACCCAACGACCCTGATTAAGACATAAAAAAATTATATTTTTTATCATTTAAATTTAAATTAACATTTATAATATTTTGAAATATATTAATACGTATTGCTTAGATGTGCAAGATACATATTTAATATTTAATGACTTAGTTAACCTTCGAGTCGTGCTTCAAGTCATGGAGGGGGGCGCTTCCCCGAAGCGCGTGTCGAGGCGTGATTCATTTAGAGGAGGGGCCATAATTGATTATGTCCGAGCCCTCGCTACCGTGATACCATGTGACTACTTCAGGAAGTGGTTCAGGAAGCGCAGGAATTTTGACAGCCATCTAAACAGCCTCAGTATTCAGTCAAAATGTGGGAGTTTGTAGGAGTTGCTGTCAGCTGGATAGATTCTAAGAATAGACTGGTTGGAAAAACAGCCAATCTAGTTGCTTAAAACTATTTTGTTTAGAATAAACAATTTAATGATCAAAATCTGGGCAAGCCACCGCACACAGTTAGTATCAACACATCAGAGTTAAGTAGTATTTTCTCTGACTTGGACAGTTGGTCACATAAGTGGCGTCATCTGTAAGACAAACTGGCGTCCTCTTCCACAACATCTTCTTCCCCGCTTTCCTCCTCTAAATAAAAAATGTATGACGGAGGAGACTTATCCATGACCTCCGACACTAAACTCTCCTCCTCTTGCATGTTTCCTCTGTCCATAGCGTTCCTTGACAGCGTCGTTTCTAAGTCACCAATTTAGTGCTACTTGGTCCCAATGGAATTTCCCATTGGGAACCTACTAGCACTAAGTTGCTAACTGGTTAGCAAGATGCTTCCGACAAACTGGCCACAACCAAAACGGCTTGCGAATCTTCCGCCACAACAATCCCGCCCCCTTGATAAACTACCAATCAAATTCACTGTATTAACTCGTGTAAAGTCGGGCACCACTCAGGAGAACTGCATTGGTTGGAACGGCCGCCTCCCTACGACTTTAAGTTCTGCCTTCTCTCTCCCTGATTGCCTATTTTCTATTCTATATGTGTGTGCTTGCTTGGAGTGCAAAATTAAAATTTTATTCACGATAGAACAGCACTGTTAGCACATTTAATATAAGCCTATGAAACTAGTCCCAATTAAAAAACTAAACATTATCTAAGCTAAAACAGGTGAAAGCTGCTGATTGCAGTTCTGTAAGAAGCAGGAGAAAGTGTTTTGATTTGATTTTTATCAACAAAAACCTTTTTTTCTTTTATAGAGTCAGACGGGAGTTCTGAAAACTGCAGGAAAAGTGGACGAGCAAAGACTGTAAGCTGTAAAAACTTAGGATTCTTAGCCACAGCTGACTAAAAAAAGAAAATTTGAGGGTTTTCCTTTTACCAATGAGATGGCATACAGTAGAACCAATGACATCAGACCAATGAAACTTAAGACCAATAGTGTCCCTTGAAATGAAACCTACGCCCTTGTAAAAAAACAATGCTTTTGCCTCTACTAGAAGAGACAGTCTTTAAACGTTGAAGCATTTGACACTAATTCCAAAGTCTTACCTCTCCTGTGTGGCTGAGGTTCAGCTTTGGCAGTTTATTCTTCACATTTCCAGAGGTCCCTCCAAAGCTTTGGCTGTTGGTGAACCCCTCTGTTGCCACTGGAGGGGGTTTAAGCTGCGGGGAGTCACTTGGCGCCTGGTCCTGGCCGTCCATTGGTCGCACATATGCCGTAGGCTTCTGCTGAACAGGAACGTGCTTCCCCGATAGGCAGCCGGGCGGGAAAGTGGGCGTGGTCAGACCAGACGTTGGTGTGGTCAGACCAGGTGTGGGTGTAGTCAGAACTGAAGTGGAAGCCAGCGGGGAAGTGGATAAAGAGAGGTGGGAACTTGTTTCATGTTCGAACGGGGAGGATTTAAAAGGTCCGCCATTCTCTGCGGCCGAGGAAGACTTAAAGTGGCAACCATCTAAGGTGGAGGAGCGAAAGGTGCCACCATCTGTATGAAAGAAAGGGAAAAAAAAACACAAAGGGTTAAATCAACCTGATGAAAACAAAAACTAAAAGTAAATATGATATTCTGGGGTTTCAAAATCAACCTTATTTTCTGGTAAAATCATGTTAATCAAATGCTAATTTCAAACGTTTTCAGCTATTAGGACAGAAATATTTTTTTCCTTAAATCTGCTTCATGCTACAGGCAAACATTGGAAAACAATCATTCATAAACTTGAAAGAATGTTTTTACATCTATTTTTTTAGCACTTAAAGACTTTTTAAGGAAAACATAAAAGTAAATATGAAAATAAAACCTCCTCTTGGGTTTAAAGGATATCATTAACTGGTAAGAATATAGATGGATAAGATTTGTTTAGAAAGTCTAGGAAAGGAAAGGCGACTTTATCTGTAGCTTGATTCAGTAAAAAGACAATTAAAAGTTCTTAATATGAATTAAACAACAAAAACGAAGAAAAAAGTATAGATAAAAACATGATAAAAGGACATAGTACAGCAAATAAAACGGTTTGACCACAACCTTAAGCTGATGATACCTCAGTTAACATTTTAACTCTGGGTGAACAGAGTAGGCTGGAACTAGAAGACCTGAGTGGTCTGGGATGTTGATACACTGACAATAAATCTGTTATATATTGAGCTGCTGTTCCATTCAGTGATTTATAGACTCACAGAATGATTTTAAAGTCTATTCTCTGAGCTACAGGGAGCCAGACTTCAGAACCGGGCTGATGGGCTCTACTTTCTTACGCTACGTTCACACCTAAAGCAGCAGAGGCGGAACAAGCAGCTAGTTTTCATGCAAAGTCAATGGTTGACTCACATCAAGGAGCAGCAAAAGATCCTGCCGAGCGTTTTGAGCAGCAGGAGCAGCGCTTATCTGAGCATCTGATGCGCGGGATGCGCTTCAGAAGCAGCAGCTGCTGGAGTTGGAAAAATGTAACTTTTGCTGCTCGCTGCACCATATCAACCAATCAGAGAAGCTGATCTGGGAGCTGGCAGGGAGACAGACACAGCACTGCTGATGCAGATCGCAATGATGACTCCACTGAAACAGTTTATTAACGCCTTAATTAACTTAAAATGCCGAAAACAGGCGCCGAAACATGTTTGATTTTATTATCATACTAGTGCCTGCAGTTTGGATCACGTACGTGAAAAACGCCTTCCAGCCACCGCGAACACTAGGGGCAAACCGTAAAGAGGTGAAAGGACAAAGTTTCTGCCCTTTTAATCTGCATTCTATTCAGTGTAAATCCATGCAGTCCATATTTAACCGGAAAGTTTGTAACTAGAGTTGATTAAATGTATTCCAGACTCCTACATATACAGATCTAGCGGCATATGTTGTTAGCAGCTACCAGTTAGAAGGTCACAGTTTCCTCACAGTGCTTAGAATTAGTTATTTAGTGCAAGTTGACCAGGTCTAAATGGATCCTGGTCACAGATACACAGATGGAGGTAAAGACCTTTAATATCTAGCTACTTTTAATGTTTGTTTTCCTTGTCTCTCCTTTATAAGGTCAGTAGATTTCTGCAGTGTAAGTGCAATAACCCAAGTCAACTACTGTGTAGTCTTCCCTTAGCTTTCTACCGTGCACATATTTTTATATCTAAGGAAAACTTTACATAATACAACTTTTATCTTTTTTTAATGCTTTTTTGTACTATATACACTCTTTTTATATTATCTGTCATATTTTTTTTATCTTCAATGGCATCTTGCTTTAACTCTTTGAACTTTACATAAGCTACTGGAACCAGAATTTCCCTTAAAGAGTTATCCCAAGGGATTAATAAAGTTGAGTCTAAGTCTATATTTAGGGGAAGAGAAAAATACAAACCACAGTCTGTTTATAGGTGGAATAAAATCCTACATATAAAAGCACAAAGATGGAGGAAAGTGGAGAGACCGCTTTAACGTGACAGAGGTTTAGTAGAGTCTACCTGGGAGGGGATGGCTTTTGGACGAGTGCCTTCTGGAAGAGGAAGAGGAGGAGGAAGAGGATGAAGATGAGGAAGAAGGGCTTGATTCCTCTTTCAGACCCAGTTCATCTTTAAGAGAGCTGAACAGCTCTTCGTGTCTTTGCAGCTGTTGTTCCTCTAAAAGAGCCATCTTGCCCCTGCTGGCGGCCGCTGCTGCAGGGTTCTGCCCGTTCTGTGCCAATCCCGAACCCAAAACCAGGCCCGTCTCTTGGCTTCCCTTTGACCACTCCATGGAGCTCCTGGACTTCTTTGAGCTCTGATGCGGGACCGCCGCTGTGTTTGACAATGACGTGTTGACTGCAGGCGGCTGCATGGAGGCTGACGATGAAGACGGTGCGGCACTTCCCATCCTCTTTTCCCCACTTCCTTCTGTTCCTCCACCTCCAACCACTCCTCCTCTTAAGGCCTCGTTGAACAGCTGGGACTCCATGGCCGACCTTTCTGTGGCAGAGGAGCTCGACGCTTGCTGCTGGTTTGTGGTTGCTGTGCTGCCTTTGGGGATTCCAACCAGGTGGCTCTGGTTGGAGTGGCTAGTTAACAGGTCTTTCATTTCTTCATAGGAGCCCAGAGTGTTCTGGACCCGATTGGCCAAGGCATCACCCTTATTAGTCTGAAAGGAAAATACAAAGAGGAGAAAGACAGGGGGAAGGAGAGAAAGAGCACATTAATTTAGTCTTCCATTTTTCTTTTTTCTTTATACCAGACTTGATGAAAAGCCCTCTTTACTCATCTGGAAAGGGGTAGTGAGAGATGGATAGGGTGAACACTGACCAGCCATCAGGAGAAGATGATTAATTAAATAATGCCAGCTTTAAGAAGCCCCATCCTCGGCTGAAGCTGTGAAATTAATGGGGCAGGAATGATTATCACCCTGACCCCAGCTTCTTAGCCAATCACTGCTTGAAGGACAGTATGGTGTATATATATCCTCCAGCAGCCTACCTGCTATTTGGAAACACTGAGAGGTTCCTCAAATAGCCTAAGAGCTCATTTAGAATCCGTGACAGATTCTTCAAAGAAAGAAGAAAAGCAGCACTACTGGCAGAATGTCTTTTTCAGGCATAAGAGGAAAATATAGCGCCAGGAGCCCTGGGTAATTTCAGCTAAAACCTTTTGATTTAATTGGGTTACCAAGAGCCAAGGTTTAAATACGATGAGGCACAGGTTTCTGTTCTTTTTAACAGTTTCCTTTAATTAAAGGTCAATATGCTGATTGAAGACCCATCTAACCAATGTCTAAAGTCCCCACATGTTCATGTAGGTGGAGCGAATAATGCAAGTCAGTCACTCAAAGCAATCAACTGGGTTTCCTTAGAAAACTTTTAACCAATTTGTCGTCCTAATGCTGATAGTTCTCCCTTCCTCAGCTGGAGCAAAGCATTACCATTTGTTGAAGGTAGGTAATGGCAATGGTGTAGCTTTGAGATGAAAGCTGGTGGGGAAACTCTAAGGGTGGTGGCTGATGGACCTATAGTTACTCCAAACAAACGCTTATATTAGGGTTTTTGTATTTTCCAAAAATGAGCTCAAACATATGTTTACTGAATACTTTGCAATTGTTGAGAACACAAGAGAACCACAATACACTGATATTTATATTTATAGATGTTAGAGAGAAGCCTCTTAGTGCATTACATATAAAGGGCCCAAAAACATTAATGTATAAAAATAATTGCGATTCCGATGACAACATTGATATATATATTATGCATCCCTAGAAGTACAATTTAAATTGCATCCATCCAGAAAAATATGGATATAGCTGCATTTTAAATATAGCATAGAATATTTTTTTTCTTGTAAACTTTCTGGTAAACTTGGAAGATATATTGTATTGCATGTTGCATATCCCTGTAAATCTGTTTCACCTTTAAATCTCCTTCCCTACTTCTCTCTGTGCTCAAAGATTTATGAACCTATTTACTAATATAATGATGCCAGAAACATAATTTAAAGACATGTACAAGCTGAGTCTGTCTGTACAATAAGAACAAATGTTATGTTTCACCTGTACCTGGGAGTCATGGTCCTCTGAGAAGTCAAGTTTTTTTAACTAGTAAAGAACAAACTCTGTTTTCTTAAGCTTCTTGCATTATAATACTAACTTGTATAAACTTAGAATCTGTTGCCATTTTTAGCTTAAAAAAAGCTCTGTATGTCAAACAGATTTTTCGGTGGCATGATCTCTAATTTTTTTCATCCAATCTGTCTCCTAACTTTTACTTAGACATCGAAGTTGCTGCTGATTAATATTCACTGAGTGCTGCTGTGTGTCTCTCCTCTAACCACGTAGCTACTTTATACGTCAGTGAAATGCGACCGCAAATCATAAGTCTCAAAGAAAAACATAATGTTAAACCGACAGGCGGGACATGGGAGCAGCGGGAGAGAGGAAAAAAAACTGACTGAAAACGCTCTGTACACATTTAGCTGCACCAAACTTGTTAACTTTGGCTAAAGAAAATAATAGGAAAGGGGAAAAAAGCGGAATTATTGGTGCGGACCGTCCACACTAGGCCAAAAGAAAGTTTGGCCTGTGGGTAAAGGCATCGTCTTTCAGGACAGCCAATAGAGACTTATCCTGTTTAACAGTTGCCAACAGTTTTCACTGTCAAAGAGCACATTCTTCAAGCTTTGCCCAAGGTTGAGTAAGGTCTTCAATCCAGCTTTAAAGGAACCAGATGGGCTAGCTAAACCTTTCTCTCTGAGTTTTTCCAGGTAGTCCTGTAACTAGAGCTCCCCAGAGACTGAATTAAAGCATCTTTCTCCTTCCAGATGATCGCAGGTCCAACAGAATACAGCAAAGCAGCTGCTCTTAGCCTCCAGGCTAGGCTATCAATCTCAGACAAGCAAAGCTTTTCCTAATCACTGGAAATACTTTTTTATCTTCCTCATAATGGAGATTAACAGACCTGAAAGCTCTGCTGATGGTAGAGAACTGTTTCCAGTTACAATTTAGATTATTTATTATTGCAGTATATTTGATGGAAACCAACCATGCATCCTCTTCCCTTCTAGGGGCAGGATTTCCTCAGAGTGAGGACTGAAGATGATTTTCTATTCC